TTTGACCTTCAATGTCTTTTCTTCACACCACACTCCATTAGTTTTTTTCACAGCAACCCCAACAGCTATAAGACAGTCATATCGAACAAAACCAAACATGGACTGTGTTGCTTTTCACCTCTTATGTGGTATGAAGACATCCTTCACTACCCAAAAATTAGCGAACAAAGTATAAAGTCCTTTATATCATCATGTAATATGTGGTTATTTTTGTTGATGTTTTTAGATGATTATAATGTAATATATGGTTATATTTGTTGTTAATAGATATTTTTTTATGATTATCATGTAATGGATGGATATTAAGCTTTTAATGTGTAATCGATATGTTTAATATATGAAATGTTTTTAGTTGTAAATTTTTTGATTTAATGGATTGATTTAATAATGATATCAAAGTTGTCGCCATATTTGACTTTTGAAAAAATTGAATGAAAATAAATATGAAAAAAATTATTTAAAAAAATTATTCCTACCCTCCCAAAAGATAAAATTATATAAAAATGATGTGTTTTTAATTTTTTTTCACCAATTTAGTTTTTAATTTCCTAGAATTTTTTTTTCTCCTGAAATAGATTCTAAAAACTAAATCAAACTGAATTTTCTAACCAAAAAAATTTCAGCATTATTCATTAAAAAAAAGGTCATTACATTTCAAACAACATACAAGTTAATCAACATAAAATAAGTTTGTATGACTACTTTGCCTTTAAAATTGACCATTTATAAAGAAAACATCTTTGATTGTCTTTATTTGAAACTAGATTCAAAATTTATGATTAAATGCATTATAATTGAAAAATCAAGAACCAAAATAATACAAATCCTAAACTACAGCAACTATTAGTGTAATTGGCCCTTAAATTTATGAAAACAAATGGTACATGATTTAGACTTTCAGGTTGGGAGTTCAGAGTTAAAAACGCTAAAAGCTTAATTGAAAAAGACTGTTCGAGAGATAAAAATGTAAAACATTTGGTGCATAATTGAACACAGAGTTATATGCTTAAGAGAGAGAGAGAGAGAGAGAGAGAGAGAGAGAGAGAGAGAGAGAGAGAATATTGCAAATGATGAGAAACACAAAGACATCCTTCATTGCCTTCTAGCTTGAATATAAAAAAGACACACACATCAAAAATAGTAGTCTCATAGAAACAAATGGGTACAATAAAACCAAATATCAGCACAACAATTCCAATCAAGACAATATGGAGCGAGGAGAGAGAGAAAGAGAGAGTCGACATCCTCTCATGTCGATTTCTTCATACATCCATCAAGCTAGCACCTGAAAAGACGTATATCATGAAAAATTATTTATTAGTCTTGAGACAAATTCATATGATGCCCTAATCATAGAACGGAGGAGATCAAGATCCAAAAGTCAAATCGAGCTTTCTCCTAAACCAAGAAAAGGAGGAACATGAATAGGAACAAGGATGCAGCTTTAACCTTTGGCTAAAAGCAAATACTAACCTTTCATATCCAAATATACTAAACAGTAACATCCATGTGGATCCATAAGCTAAACTTTTTATTTTTTTTGAATGGATGCATAAGCTAAACTCAAAATGAAAATTGATTTACAAAAATAATTCTTTTTTCAAAAAATTCAATCACAATGTTGAAATTATGTAATGAAACATGTTTTGAAATAAAGATAAAAGGTCATATCATTCTGATTGAAAATTTTATATAAAATTTTTGTTTGTATATAATTACCCACTTGAAATAATAGGAGAAAAAAAACTTACAAAAGCAAAAGAGTAGGGTTAACTTTGAAATAACAAGAGAAGAAGACAAAAAATCAAACTAGAAAAGCACAAGAATAGGGATAGAGCGAGAGTGCTAAATATTGGCTAATACTTACAACGATTTTGAATTTTTTACATTAATATTTATTGATATATTGATTGATATTAGCTGATATATAATAGTATCAATAATATTAATCCATATTCTGATGCTATTATTTAATTTCATGATTAGGTTTTGAGATTAGGGTTTTGAGAAGAAGTGAGTGTACTTAACTTAGATCTAGAGAGAGCAAGTGAAGCCAAGAGGGGGTGTCTTCCCACAAGTGACAAGAAGTTGAAGAGCCAGTGGAACAAAAATATTAAGGTTAAGAACGTTAAGCTTCAAAGTAGTACACAAACACATTGCAGCCTCAATCTCCACCAGCCCTTGCAACACAGGGCAACACTGGTTCGTCACCGGGTCGCCGAGCACAATGTTGACCAACCCACCAAGAAGATCCACACAAGCTCCAAGTTTGAGTGTGTCAATTGGGCATGTCTGAGCCCCCGGTGGCGGTGGGCAAGGCTTGGTGGTGGTTCGTGGGTTAGTCATCGGAAGGAGGTTGATGGGTGGTTTGACAATGGGTGGGAGGGTAATGGGTTTTTTGTGTTTTGGAGAGGGTTTTGAACATTGGTCACAGCCAAGGATTGGTGTGGTTGAGGAGATGAAGAGCAAGGAAATGAGAAGGAGAGTGGTGAACTTAGAGGACACCATTTTTTTTGGTTTCTCTCTCTGGTTTGTGTTGAAGAAGAAGGAAAGAAATGAGGTGGTAAAATTGTTGTAGACGAGTAAGGTGTTATATAGAAAAATAAATCTAGGAATACGAAAACTAAATATAAAATCATATACAGAAAAAATAAAAAGTTCCTATATGTTGGCATTTGTGTCTAGTTCTTTTAATTTCATTTAGATTGATTTGAATTCTGAATTTTTTATTTTGCCTTAAATTAATCTAATTAATTCTAATTATTAGCATTTTTTATGATGAATACACATAAACGACATGCGTCATATTTTTAGGAGTAAAATTCTAAACTTAATCAATTTAGTGATTTAATCTCAACAAATTTAATGTTGGCCCTTTGACCACCTCAGCATAGGTGTCTCTTTTTGTGTTTCTGTTAGGTATAAACCTTCCTACACCTTCTGTTTGTTGCTTGTTTGGCCCCTCTTTTACTTGAACCTTTTCCTTACCAGCCTGCTCCTTTCCATAATCTGCCTTTTTGACCTTCAATGTCTTGTCTTCACACCACACTCCATTAGTTTTTTTCACAGCAACCCCAACAGCTATAAGACAGTCATATCGAACAAAACCAAACATGGACTGTGTTGCTTTTCACCTCTTGTGTGGTATGAAGACATCCTTCACTACCCAAAAATTAGCGAACAAAGTATAAAGTCCTTTATATCATCATGTAATATGTGGTTATTTTTGTTGATGTTTTTAGATGATTATAATGTAATATATGGTTATATTTGTTGTTAATAGATATTTTTTTATGATTATCATGTAATGGATGGATATTAAGCTTTTAATGTGTAATCGATATGTTTAATATATGAAATGTTTTTAGTTGTAAATTTTTTGATTTAATGGATTGATTTAATAATGACATCAAAGTTGTCTCCATATTTGACTTTTAAAAAAATTGAATGAAAATAAATATAAAAAAAATTGTTTAAAAAAATTATTCCTAACCTCCCAAAAGATAAAATTATATAAAAATGATGTGTTTTTAATTTTTTTTTCACCAATTTAATTTTTAATTTCCTAGAATTTTTTTTTCTTCTGAAAATAGATTCTAAAAACCAAATCAAACTAAATTTTGTAACCAAAAAAATTTCAGCATTATTTATTTAAAAAAAGGTCATTACATTTCAAACAACATACAAGTTAATCAACATAAAATAAGTTTGTATGACTACTTTGCCTTTAAAATTGACCATTTATAAAGAAAACATCTTTGATTATCTTTATTTGAAACAAGATTCAAAATTTATGATCAAATGCATTATAATTGAAAAATCAAAAACCAAAATAATACAAATCCTAAACTACAGCAACTATTAGTGTAATTGGCCCTTAAATTTATGAAAACAAATGGTACATGATTTAGACTTTCAGGTTGGGAGTTCAGAGTTAAAAACGCTAAAAGCTTAATTGAAAAAGACTGTTCGAGAGATAAAAATGTAAAACATTTGGTGCATAATTGAACACAGAGTTATATGCTTAAGAGAGAGAGAGAGAGAGAGAGAGAGAGAGAGAGAGAGAGAGAGAGAGAATATTGCAAATGATGAGAAACACAAAGACATCCTTCATTGCCTTCTAGCTTGAATATAAAAAAGACACACACATCAAAAATAGTAGTCTCATAGAAACAAATGGGTACAATAAAACCAAATATCAGCACAACAATTCCAATCAAGACAATATGGAGCGAGGAGAGAGAGAAAGAGAGAGTCGACATCCTCTCATGTCGATTTCTTCATACATCCATCAAGCTAGCACCTGAAAAGACGTATATCATGAAAAATTATTTATTAGTCTTGAGACAAATTCATATGATGCCCTAATCATAGAACGGAGCAGATCAAGATCCAGAAGTCAAATCGAACTTTCTCCTAAACCAAGAAAAGGGGGAACATGAATAGGAACAAGGATGCAACTTTAACCTTTGGCTAAAAGCAAATACTAACCTTTCATATCCAAATATACTAAACAGTAACATCCATGTGGATCCATAAGCTAAACTTTTTATTTTTTTTGAATGGATGCATAAGCTAAACACAAAATGAAAATTGATTTACAAAAATAATTCTTTTTTCAAAAAATTCAATCACAATGTTGAAATTATGTAATGAAACATGTTTTGAAATAAAGATAAAAGGTCATATCATTCTGATTGAAAATTTTATATAAAATTTTTGTTTGTATATAATTACCCACTTGAAATAATAGGAGAAAAAAAACTTACAAAAGCAAAAGAGTAGGGTTAACTTTGAAATAACAAGAGAAGAAGACAAAAAATCAAACTAGAAAAGCACAAGAATAGGGATAGAGCGAGAGTGCTAAATATTGGCTAATACTTACAACGATTTTGAATTTTTTACATTAATATTTATTGATTTATTGATTGATATTAGCTGATATATAATAGTATCAATAATATTAATCCATATTCTGATGCTATTATTTAATTTCATGATTAGGTTTTGAGATTAGGGTTTTGAGAAGAAGTGAGTGTACTTAACTTAGATCTAGAGAGAGCAAGTGAAGCCAAGAGGGGTGTCTTCCCACAAGTGACAAGAAGTTGAAGAGCCAGTGGAACAAAAATATTAAGGTTAAGAACGTTAAGCTTCAAAGTAGTACACAAACACATTGCAGCCTCAATCTCCACCAGCCCTTGCAACACAGGGCAACACTGGTTCGTCACCGGGTCGCCGAGCACAATGTTGACCAACCCACCAAGAAGATCCACACAAGCTCCAAGTTTGAGTGTGTCAATTGGGCATGTCTGAGCCCCCGGTGGCGGTGGGCAAGGCTTGGTGGTGGTTCGTGGGTTAGTCACCGGAAGGAGGTTGATGGGTGGTTTGACAATGGGTGGGAGGGTAATGGGTTTTTTGTGTTTTGGAGAGGGTTTTGAACATTGGTCACAGCCAAGGATTGGTGTGGTTGAGGAGATGAAGAGCAAGGAAATGAGAAGGAGAGTGGTGAACTTAGAGGACACCATTTTTCTTGGTTTCTCTCTCTCTCTCTCTCTCTCTCTCTCTCTGGTTTGTGTTGAAGAAGAAGGAAAGAAACGAGGTGGTAAAATTGTTGTAGACGAGTAAGGTGTTATATAGAAAAATAAATCTAGGAATACGAAAACTAAATATAAAATCATATACAGAAAAAATAAAAAGTTCCTATATGTTGGCATTTGTGTCTAGTTCTTTTAATTTCATTTAGATTGATTTGAATTCTGAATTTTTTATTTTGCCTTAAATTAATCTAATTAATTCTAATTATTAGCATTTTTTATGATGAATACACATAAACGACATGCGTCATATTTTTAGGAGTAAAATTCTAAACTTAATCAATTTAGTGATTTAATCTCAACAAATTTAATGAAAAGTTTATGTCAAAAATCTTAACGATATTATTAATTGGATCAAATTGACAACAAAATTAAAATTAAGAGTTAAAATTGAGTAAATTAAAATTGAAAGTGTCACGCCCTCAAAATTAACCCATTATATAACATTGACATGCATTATTTAAAGAAGACAATTTATGAATTCATTCATCAGAGTAATACTAAATAAAGCATTACATGTAATATCGAACAAAACGCCCTACAGGCTTACATCTTTCCAAGCCAACACTTGGATACAAAAATATGAGTCCTAACTCAATACAAGGAAAGCCCTAGGCTTAAATGTTTACATGTAATAATAATTAAAGACAATTAACTAAAGGTAGTCCTCTCCAATCCAGAAGCCAAACCCTCCCAAGCTAAGTCCTTGGAGGTAGTCGAGCGAACAACTCCTCGCTCGAGCGAAGAACCAAAAACCTGGACAGCAACACTTGGTTTCTAAACCCAACCAACCTGAACAAACCTGCCTAACACATCCTATAATTCCAAAAGAGAAAATAAGGAACAACAACAACAACCATTATACAATGACAGAATCTACGGAACCTAAGTCCGGATACAATAATCAAATGGGAAAAGACCGGGGTCGCTATAGAAAGGACTAAAATAATGTAAGTATCAAAATGTAAGAACCACTGATATAAGTTGTCCGAAAATAAATAAATAGATAAGATTTTTTAGAATTAAATTTTATAAAAAAAAAATTGATTGATTTTTTGTGTCTCATTTTATATCTGATTTTTATATTTTTAGCATGATTGTACATAGATTGAGATCTCGTTTGGGAACTTTACTTTTTAGCTTAAAAATCAAAAAGTTATAAAAAAAATTAAAAAATTATACAAAAAATGCAAAGATTTTCTTTTCTCTCTACTTTTTATACATCTTTTTATAAAAAATTAAAAAATCATTATAAAAATACTAATTTTTTTTTATCTCATATTAGTAAAGGAAACTAAAAAAATATTAAAATAACTTATTTTGAAACTAAGCCTGAGTGAGTGCCTAAAAAATTAAAATAAAACATTCAGGGTGTATTTGCTTTGTGTTTTGAGATAAATTTTCAAAAATAAAAAAATAAAAAAATAAAAAAATTGAAGAGAGAGTTTAGAAATTTTTTTGATTAGTTTTGTTGTATATTTTGAAAATAGTTTTGGAGTTTGGGATGATTTGATATTTTGTTGTAATTGAGTAGATGTGTATGAGAGAAAAAATGATTGATTGATGCGTAATATAGAGAAGTAATTTTGAAATTTTTTTGAAAAAATTTATAACTAAACATGTTTATAGAAATTTTTTTTCCAAAAATATATTTCAAAACACAAACCAAGCACACCCTAAACCCTTGAAGCAGATCACGTGAACTTTGATTGGCCAGGCTCAAAGGCAACTGACAATTTTCCTACCTTTTTTTTTTTTTTTTTATCGGCAAAGAAAATCTATATTGATGAAACATACAAAGTATGAAGATTACATCAATAAAGAGGAGCTTGGGTCTAAAAAGCCCCAAGCGCCAGTCGGTGAGAAACCAACAAAGAGAAAAAGAGGGAAAAAGGGGGAAAAACAACAAGCATAAGCAAAAACACCCAGAGATTGAATCACATCAGCAAAAAACAGAGGGCAGCAGACAGAACCCAATTCAAATCATTGCAGTCCAAGAGCATTGCCCTCAGCTTAGAAACTCAGTGCAGCTTGGAAACTCAGCATAACAACAAAAGCCATAAAATCAGTGTAGCTGCCAGAAAACAGTATGATCCTTCAGAGTGTTTATAGTTTAGCATACACCCTTTTGCCTCAAATCCAGCTTAATAAACAGACCTCCATTCAGAATACCACTCAGCTGCTGGCTGAAATAAACAGGCCAAATAGACCTACCTAGCACCAACCTGTGCATAGCAACCACATATCAGTTCCAGCATCAACAGACCTTCACTTCACTGCAGCAACACAACAAAATGGACCCAAGCAACATAACAGCACCAGAACTTAGCACCACAGAACTTAGGCTATTTAGCAGCCAAATACTGAGATGAAGAACTCAGACTATGAAGCAGACTATGAACTCAACCAGAAAGAACTACAATTGACCTTCACTTTAGCACCACAAAACTGCACTAAGATGAACAAAGCCACTTCACTGAGATGAACAATAAAGTTGGCCAACTGATAATGCTGAACAGAGGAATAGGGCAGAAAAACTGACTAGCAGGTTGAGGCTAAAACCAAAATATCAATCACCAACTAATGAACCAGACCAACCAGATCAACAACCCCAACAGCACAACCCCAATTGATAAGCCAGATCAACCCCAGCAAATCAACAACCCCAGCAGAAAAGAAGCTCTAGCAAAACATGGCCCAACCTCAGCAGATAATCAACCACCAGAAGAGCAATATAACAAAACAAATAAACTAGCCCATCTAATGGTTTGAATTTCTAGCTTTGATTTGCCTCCAGTTGAAGGTTAAATCATCAACTGAGAAGGGAAGGTCCTTAATGGTTGCTTTCAGCCATAGTGCTGCTCTGATTTTGATAGATTCACTCAAATCTGAAATATTTGGTTGAGCCTCTTCAAAAATACATTCGTTCCTACACTTCCACAGCGACCAAAGAACAATGAGCGGGATAGCTCTCCAAATTAATCTATCAAAGTGATTGAAGTTTACTCTCATCCACCATTGGAGAAGGCCATCAACTGAATCTTGACAATTTTCCTACCTTGCAAATGAAAGTTGTACTTAATGGCCCCGTTTGGTAGAGTTATGAGAAAGTGATTATAAATTATAACTTAACAGATTATAGATTATAGTTTTAAACATAAGTTGTTAACATGTTTGGTGCAGCTGTGGGATTATGGATTTAAACAGTAGAGTACTATTTGGTTGATAAGCTGTAAAATAACTTTTTGCTGTATAATCGTCCTTATTGCCCTTATATGATATAAATATAATTATTTTGTCATTTTTTTTCAGTTTTAATTTTAAAAAAGTCATTTCATTAATAAAAGTTAATATAATTAGTATTACAAAAATTATTATTTTCATTAATAGTATCAATTAGTGTAAAATTATTTCATTTTTTCATTATAATTAATGGCTTAATTAGCATCAATACTTTTTTTTTTCTTTTCTTTTTTTTTTCATTTTTTTAATCTTTTTCTTCATTATTAATTAATTGATGTCAATTAATGGGTTAATTAGCATCAATACTTTTTTTTATTTCATTTTTTTAATCTTTTTTCTTCATTATAAATTAACTAATGTCAATTAATGGGTTTATTAGCATCAATACTTTTTTTTTCTTTTTATTTCATTTTTTTAATCTTTTTCTTGATTATAAACTAATTAGTGTCAATTAATGGAAAGACAATTTATTTCAATATTAATTGAAATATTTTTTTTAGTGATATTTCATTATAAATTAATTTGTGTCAATATTAATTTCAATATTAATTGATATAAATCGCACAATTTATTTCAATATTAATTGATATTAATTTGGACAATTTATTTCAATATTAATTGCATAATTTATTTCATTATAAATTAATTTGTGTCATTTATTATTTTTAATTAGTGTTAGAAATATTAATTGCACAATTTATTTCAATATTAATTGCACAATTTATTTCATTTAAAATAAATTTGTGTCATTCTAAATTAATTATTTTCAAATTAATTAATTAGTGTTAATTAGTGACTAAAATGCTTAATTATTTTTTTTATTAGAAAAACACTGAAAACCTCCCCCCCCCCAAAAAAAAAAAACATTGAAACCTTAGCTCCGGCAGTCACAACGGTGCTAGGGTTTGAGATTGCCACTTCATCTTCATCTTCTAGGCCAAGATTGTCTTCTCCTTGTCTTCTCTACATCCATTGCCATCGCCATCGCCATCGCCATCGCCGAAGGCCGAGAGACCAAATCTGGGCAATGGTAGATCCACTACCGCCTGTGACACCTCTTCTCTCTCTCTCTCTCTCTCTCTCTCTCTCTCTCTCTCTTCTCTCTCTCTCTCTCTCTCTCTCTCTCTCTCTCTCAATTTTGAATACACTAGGCGGCAAAGGAGGGAGCAGAACAGAGACGGTGGTGGTGGTGGTGGTGGTGGTGGATTCGCCACCGTTGATCGAGGCTGTTGATTTGGCTCTCCGCACTTTCCCATAGTCTTCACCAAGTCGGAAGCTAGGTTTTCGTCGCCCTCGAACCTCTATAGGGCAGTGATTGACACTCTTATAGATCTGATTCCGAGCACAGAGAGAGAGAGAGAGAGAGAGAGAGCGCTAGGGTTTCAGAGAGCTAGGGTTCGCCGGAAATTGCCTTCTTTTCGTCGAAAATCGCCTCTCAGAGACGTCCGAGAGACAGAAATGAGTTGTGTCTGGTTTATATACACGACACACTTGTAATAACTTGAAAATGTGAGGGGCATTTTAGTCATTTTGCCCCCATAATCCCAGCTGTACGCTTAAGCTGAATTGAAAAGCACCTCCTCCCCAACTCAAAGAATAATCACCTTTTTTACTTAATTTAAGCTACAAGTTGATCATTTGAGCTACACCAAACAAATAAAAATCACTTAATTTAAGCTAAAAGTTAA